TTTTTATTTTTAAATACCAATCATCTGCATTTCGTAATGACAAGTGCTCATGTTCCTAATTAAACCATTTCGCGTAATTTCGAGAGCGGCACCTATAGAGTTTTAAAATAGTATAAATATTTTTTTGTTTGTAAGGTGGAAATAATAGTAAATTACCCTCGCGCTTCAACTCTGCCAAAATTCTAAGAACGCAGTCGATGCTCTTCGTATAAATTAGCAAAGTTAATTACATAATCTAGTATTTATTGTAAACGGAAATTCGAAATTTGTTTTGTTCTCTGATGCATACCGAATATTTTGGACAACGTATCATTTCCTTTATTTCCCCTATAAATTTATCATTAAACACTCTGCAGATATTAAGGGAACTAACGGTTAGAAAATCACTACACATTATATTATTTAAAAATTAATAGTGTGCGGAAGAAAATAATAATGAAAAAAAAGTGAAACAGTTACTTGTTTAACCGGACTTGCACTGCCAACTTTAAATCCAAATCTTGAAACTGCTCGTTCTCTTGTAACATAGAGCAATCAAGATCCTTAGTTAAGGATTCAAGACGCAATTTAAAAGGGTCGAGCTCTTTTTGTATAAATCTTGATATCTGTCATATAACGATATCAGATGAGCATTCTGTCATATATATTCTTTTTAGGAAAATGTTATAAATTTACCTCTCGAGATTGTTCAAGCAAGCCTTCTCCTGTTCGTTGATTAATGGAAATTAAGTTTTGAATGTCTTTCTGTTTTTGTTTCTGAATTATATTTTAATTTGCAAAAATGTTTTTTAGTCAAAATATTTGTTTAATAAACCTTTGAACGAAAATAAAATCTTATTTACAATAACTTGATTTGAATTAGAGACACTATCGGAAATTGCTGCTAATTCGTCACTTGATGACGCTAATCCTTGACACCGTCTTTCAAGCCCTTCGGCAAAACTAGAAATCATATTAAGTGCGGCTTGTGCAGCCTCATAATCGGCCTTCGCATTTATAACTGATCTTGATGACATGAAAAAAAGATCGATTGAGGTTACGTTTACGTGATTTGAAAAATGAAATAAACTTAAAGAGTTACATTATTCGATTCGACATTGATGGAATGTGCGAATATTTTTGTTCAACAAGAAATTTTATTGACGCGTGTTTTTCCAATATTTTTTCATTGATTTTTATAATATCATTTAATATTTTTTCAACCTCAAAGAATTTTGACGCATGGTCTTTCATAAATGTCTTTTTGATTTAGATGAGAATTTATTAGAATAATAATTTGAAAATTTTAATATATATATTAATTAAATACTTACATATATCATCCGCTGAACTCGACTAGAATCTTCATCTGTAATAAGTTTTTTACCGGTAAACTGCTCAGATTTTGTGCTACAAAATTATAATCCTCCAATAAGCTTTCATATATACAAACTATGAATGAAATAACGCGCGTGCATACTTTAAATCTTTAGATGCTGATCTCATTGTATTTAACATAGACTTGAGGAATACTTTCGGTGGTGTTGTCATTAATGGATCCTAAATACAACATAAAAATATATATTAATTAGCATATCATTTTTGGGACTGGGACATTTGCGTAATACAAACCCCTTTCAACACGAAACTAAAAGGAAATAAACAACATAAGAATTCTTTTTTTTTTTTAATTCTTTTACGCGATAGGCGATAGTTATTCTTTTTACTCACTTTATTTCATCTTTAGTCCCTGCCTTGGGTTTAAACTCTTCCAAGAGTTTCCGATATTCAGCTTCAGAGTTCATAAAACGCCTACAATTCTCGCGAAAAACCTGTTTCATATAAATCTTATTCTTTTTTTCACTTATTTCATCTTTAACAGATCGAATTTGTGACTCTATAATAGTGGCAGGTTTAATGTAAATTAATCAAGTGAATGAGTGAAAATTTTTAATCATCATTAAAGAAAATTTCATATATTACCAACGTTCGCAATACGTGAAATCAAATGAGTTATTTGTTGTTCTGTTTCTTGAACAATTTCACTAGTTTGTGTAAATTTTTTTTCAAGTTTTAATTTTCGTTGCGCGTAATTCTCTTCTGTAGAAGCGGATCCAGGTGATGATAATGTTCCTTTACTACGTTTTGTCTGATGGGATTTCTTAATTCGATTCTGGTTGCTATGTATATTCGCGTAAAATTACGATTCAATTATAATATTCTTTAACAACTTTAAGATATTCAATTTAATTTACTTTGCCAATGACTTCCGAATTCGATCTGCTTCCCTGAGTAAATTATATTAATTTTTATTAATTACAAGTAAATCTACCAAGATACATTCGAAAAATTTCGTACTTAAAAGATTTCACGTGTTGCATTAAAAATTTGAGGATAGGAACAAACTCATTCCTACAAATTCTATAAAGAAAACGCGTTTAAATGTTGCTAGTTCACGAAAGAAAACTTGTAAAAAATATAAGGGCGCGAAAAACGCCATTCGCACTTTTGTATGTCTTCCTTTGTTAATTCTTGCTCTGTCACTTCATCGAGTAAAGAAGCACCCCGTCCATGCCTATATCCGAGTTCGTTTGTCAGCCAAAGCAAAACAGATCCTGGTGACACCGACGCGTCACTTTCTACTTGTTTTTGTTTGTCTTTGGAATAAATGGAGCGATACTTTGAATTGTACAGACGATTATTATGCATATCTTTTTTTGTAAATTTAAAGTTACTAGGTTACGGATGTCAACATGGCAAAAAAACTTATAGTCGTACGAAACATATTCACGTGTCAATCTAATAAATTTATAAATTTAAATTATTACTACATATGTAAAACTAAAATTTTATGTATAACTTATTTAACTTTATTTAGTAGTCTTAATTTTTCAAGTTAAAAAAATAAAAAATAAAGTCTAAGATAATTTTGCGGCCTGTGAAATAAAAATGAAGTTTAAAAATGGAAATACAAACTTGCGAATGGAAAATTTATTAAGGGCTTACTTTCTCATATAGTGATTCCACCACATTTCCCATCTGCTTAAGAGTTTCTAATGCTGCTTCGTATGTTTTCTAAATAAAGAAACAATGTTAATGTTATTGAAATAAATAGTTTATAAGAAAATTATAAAGACAATACATCTTGAGGTGGTTCATCAAATACGATTAAACATCCTGCACCCTGATCCAAAATTCCGTGAAATACTTTATCTAAAATCATTTGTGATAATTTTGTTTCGACATGAACTGTAGGCAATTTAACCATTTCTGCAACATGTGAAATTTCAACCCTTGAAAATGGTTCTATTATGCGAACCAAATTTTGCTCAAGTAAAGTGTCATAAAGTGCGGCGAGATGAGATCGGATAATCGGGTCATTTTCCAATTCTTTTGTCAGAAAAATTTCTTATTAAAAAATATATTCGAAAAATAAGAGTTCAAAAAAATTGGAACATAACAAAATATTATACCATCGCTATAAGTTTTTAATGCAGTTTCAAACTCATTAAGTGAACGATTTTGATGTGCAGTTGCCACGGCTTTCATTGCATCAACTTCGCGCCCCGCGTAACGTAATGCAAGCTTGCCATTAATAATTGCATATACGTCTTCAGACTATTTAACCACAAGATATATCAATTAGAAGAATTGCAATGTTGATAATGTTCTAAATTGAAGTAATTGTTACATACCAAATTCAACATAATTTTACAAAGTAACATATATTTAAGAGCCAAGATAGCTCTAGGGTCATCTTGTGATGAATATCCTTCAAGAGTTTCGTAAAAATACGAATAGCTACGAAGAATACATTAAAAGTTTTACCCACTATTATTACAACACAAATTAATATAATTAAATGGGTAACATACGCAGTCTTGTAGTCCTTATCTTCAGCATGTAAAATTCCAGACTGCATATCAAGTGCAGCCTGGAGAAGAGGTGGACAATAAATAGCATTAGCAGACGTTCTGGCGGATGTCAAAGCAGCCTTTAAAATCAATTATAAATGTGAATTACAAAATAAATAAGAATATAAAGAACTTAGTTAAGATTTGCTACATGCTTTAATGATTTCTGATAGATTTCAAATATTATATATGTGTATTTTTACCCTGGATTTTGGCAAATTCCGTAACGCATGACAAACTCTACTTTCCAATAATTGAACTTCAACCAAAACCATTTTATCATCTAGACGTCTTAATTCTTTTAAAAGGGAATTGATAAGGGTTAAAGCATCATGATACATTTTATTGTCAAGATACCTAAAGCAAAATATAAATTGTTACTATAAGGAATTAGTACATTCAGAAAGTAACATAAAATACATACAAGGCAACTAGTCGAGTTTCCAAAGATTGCTTTAAAAAAATTCGTTTCTCCTGCACGCTCCAATCAATTGTTTCCTTACAGATTTCAATTTGAAGCGGTAATGTATCGGGAATTTCAGAGAAAAGATCAATCAATGTCTTTACTAAAAGTTTGATAGAAAATGATTGCTGATTTTGATTATTTTATATGATTGATAACAAATTCGCAAAAAAAAAAAAAAAAAAATCGTATAGTACCGATTTTTGCAGTTTTAGCCCTTGCAATAGATGCCATAAAAGAACGTGAAGAACGAATCAAGTTCGATAGTTCATGTGGCTTCCTAATGGAAAAAGAATTATAAGATAAAGCTATTCTTCTAAGGGCATTCATTATATGGTAAAGCATAACTAACCTCTGGTCACGATAAAGTTCACCGAGTTTGATAAGAGCTTGCTCTTGCTCTCGAATTAGGTTTTCGTCGTCGCCTAAGCCAAATATAATAAACAGCTGTTCTCTCCAAAGCTTCTAAAGAGAAGTATTAAAGAATTTTATAAAAAATAGCATACCAGCATTTTTGGATAAAATGTATAATAATTTTTCTGGTTCGGCCATTATTACGAAAAAGTTGAATAGTAATTTTATCACGATCTTGTTTTGAAAAATACAGTAAACCCTCTCTATAATCCCACATAACTTTAGGGATTATAGCGAAGTCACCTCTATATAATCACGATCGACAACATTACGTAAGTATGTACGCACTCACGTACGCAAGCCGGTATACGTATATGCTGTGTACTGAAATCGAACTTTCATCGATTCTGAATCGGGATTCTGAATAAGCTTGTGATAAAAAGAATTCAATTCTAAATCCACAGAACGCAAAATTTCATGATGTTTCTAAAAAAATGATATACATATATCGAATTGAGCGATTGCATCAATCAATACAATGTAAAAATGTAATTAACATCCTATGTAATTTAAGAGCTTGTCTTGAAATGCTTTACTAAGTTTTTTGTTTGATTTCTCCGATACAAAAATACTAGCCATAAAATAAGGTTTTTAGAATTGGTTGCATAACCTACTATAAAATATATACTGTATTAATTAAAATTGTATTTTTTGCTAAGTTCTTTTCACAAACTGCTAATAATTAATTGACCCAGTCGTTAGTTAATATTTAAAAATTATTCCGAAATCCCTAACTATTCAGGTGCATTTTTAAATATATCTGGAGCCTATTTCAAATTTAGCAACAGAATTCACAAGTTGATACGAAATCTAAAGGCGACTTAAGTTGATTATAAATTTGTATAATTGATTGACGCAACAATTAGAGTATATTCAAAATCTGGCTATCGCTATGTATGATCTTGAAGCACCAAAAATCATATAATTCAGCTTATTAAATTTGATTTGTGTTTAGTATGTCGAGTCGTTCAGATTAACCACATTAGGAGCACTACTTGTGTTCATTAGGTCCTGACGAGTTTTCAAAATCGTATAGAATACTTTTAACGCTTATAATCATCGTTGTAAATAAATATAATAAAAAAATGGATTTTATTTTATTTGCTTTGCATTAGTAGTGGTCATCCTAGTAACTATAAATGTAAAAACGTTTTAATTTGCGATGCACAGCATCATGAATAGACCTTAAAGTGAATTAAATTCCAATAAAATAATTTAGAACTTATTTAATTTTATTGTGTATATATGTTGTAGGTAGAAACGGGGTATAAATTATTTTATATAAACCTACGCCCTAACCCTAAAAATCCCGTCCATGTGAATACTGAAATAGCGTTGGAGATTCGCTGAAACTTTAGATTATCAAGAGCCAATCAAAACCCATGAATTTTTCAGCAGATTGTTCTGGAAATGTTCTAGAAGCGATGTTCCTTCCTTTTCCTCTTTTTGGTCCCTGAATTAATTCTTCCAACGCTTGAAGTACCACTTTATTTATTGTTTAATATGAATCAGACGAAGAAAGGAAAAGAGGACGGTAGCAAACTTGATCTTAAAGCCAGCATAAAAAAGCTCGACACTTTACTGGAAACAGTATATATCAAAGAAAAAACTTCTGATTTATTAAACAAATATAACTCGAATATAACATTAATTACTTATTAGGTCTATTCATGATGCTGTGCATCGCAAATTAAAACGTTTTTACATTTAAAGTTACTAGGTTACGGATGTCAACATGGCAAAAAAACTTATAGTCGTACGAAACATATTCACGTGTCAATC